GTTTATCAGCCAAAAAAAGTTAATTTTGGGGTAAGTTACTCTTTAAAGAGACAGAGGCCAATTTCAAGGTGTTTAGAAATGGAAATGTATGAGAAGTCAAGTTTATCTTTGATTAAAACATATAAACAGCATTTTAATAATAACTGAAGGTGACAGTTACTTTATTATGGTATAGAATTTAAATATATGCCTGAGAAACACATAATWTTGCCCCTTTAATGTAATAAAATCTGGAAACACTCTGTCTTTTTCACACAGTAAATTCCAGATTTTTCATGTCAGATTAGAGCCCAGTGTAGACAAACATTAATATTATTTAGTTTTTACAGACAGCTGCTCAGATTCATGCTGGAAAAACGAACCTCCTTCTTCTTGTAGTTTTCTTCCCACGTTTGTTTCTCGAGGTCCAGTCGTTCCTGCAGGACCTTCATCTCCACCTGGAAGCAAACAGAACTCACGTCTGAGCTGCAGAACCCGCCTCAGGCTGCAGGACGTGGCGGTCGGGACGTTTCCTCACCTGGTGCCTCCGCTCCTGCTCCTCTCGGCTCCTCTCGACCTCCTCTCTGAGGGCTCGTCCGGCCAGGGAGCTGTTCTCCTCCAGCTGCCGCCGCAGGTCCTCCAGCTCGGCCCGCTGCCTGAAGCAAAAACAAACTCCGTCAGGTTTTTCTCAGGAACTTGTAGGTTTGAGCTTATTTCTCTGRTTTGATCCTGTGATACAAAACAGATTTTAAAATTCTCCTGCTCACTTATAAATGCCAACATGGCCTCCTATCTCTCAGATCTACTTCAACCTTATGCTCCCGAGATCTTCTGACCAGCTACTTTTAGTCGTCCTAAAAACCAGGTTGAAGCTCAGAGTCGTGGCTCCTAARCTTTGAAATGATCTGCCCTCCGACATTAAACACTCATCACTTCCTGTYTTTAAATCTCTCTTAAAAACATCTGTTCTGACCGACTTTTAATCAAGTTATTTTTGTATTTTATCGTCCTGTTCTTCCTTTATCACCTTCTGATGATTTTAAATTCATTCGCTTTGTTGATTTTATTAAAATTTTCACTTTTTTTACTGTTCAGCACTTCTGTAAAGACCTGTTGTTTTTTAAATTTATAAATAAGTCTGAATTGACTTGAAAAAAAAAAAAGAGCAGAAAACAGGACAAAACATATTGCTGGGTTGCAGTCACGTGACYCGGATGACGCGTGAATGTCGGCTGGGGGGCAGGAAGTGATTTGCTCTGGTTCAAAACACAGCGAGTACGCTAATGCCCTAAATGGACTGGCACATACAAGATATTGCAAAAAAATATGCTTACACTTAGGATATGATTCATATTATCTTAATAGAAAAAGACTTGTTATATAATCTGGAGGATTTACCTGGTGTTGAGGCAATCAACATAAACTACTATCTGGTACTGCAGACCTCATGTTAAAGGCTACGACGAGCCAAATGAAAGCTTTCAAACGCCTCAAAGCTACAATTATTTATTTTCAGGTTGGGTCAAACATTTATAATCCAAAGAAACTTTAAATATCTGTTGACTTGTTTCTGCCTGGGTGAGTTATTTTAAGTAGTTAGCCTGTGATAACAATGCTATCGCTAACGCTAACAACAAGTTAACTCCTGTTATCTCTATGTGCTTGGATCTACTTGCAAATAATTTATTTAGCTTCTGTAAACCCAAATTCAAGTACCTATCTGGGAAAATATCTGACAATATGATTTAAACCAGAGATTCTTAACCCATGGGCCGTGGACCAATTGCGGGCCGTGAGCACCACCTTGAGGGCCTCAAAAGAACAACAGTTTTTAACTTTGGGCCACAGAGAGCTGCGGGACCGCACTGATTTTGAACAAGGTGCAATACACTTTCTCACCACTAATAGCAGTAGTGCGCCACTCAGTTGTTTAACAACTTTTTTTAATATGTAGAAGAAGAACCTTAGAAACCTGCCGAGAATAGAAACTTATTTTAAATT